GTCTCAGGGTGGTTTTGGAAAGGGAAACTCCATTTGTTCTCAGAGTCAGGTAACGCAACAAGCTGGAAGTAATGTGTGGTACTCACAGTAAAAATAAACTAATGAATGCAGTCAATTTAATAGAAATTTAAGGCAGGTTCTGACCCTTTGTGACACAACTCAGCTAATGGTGTATGGACAGACAAGTTATAAATGTATTAATTACCTGATGAGATGATAATTGCTCAAATGTTTGAAAATATGTTTCACGCTTTCATGTGGTACTTTAATATTGCATATATAGAGGAAAGGTGATGGAATAACATTTTTAACTCTGTAGTTAGCAATGTAATAATGTTGGCTGTTTAAATTAGTTAGTAATATTAAAGAGGAGCTCTAATTTATTAATAGAGACACCAAACTAGATATTTCTAAGTGAGGATGGCTTCCCTTCAATTGTATTGAATATAATTTTGTCTTCAGGTAGATATGGCCACTGTAGAATGTGGCTGTGTTTATAAAATTGCCCTGGATACCTTCAGAAGAGAGAGAAAAACATCACAATTTGCAGAGTGGGGAGGAAATAAAATGGAAAGCTTCCCCCTTAGCTAGTTCCATAAAAATCGATTTTAATGTAATTTGAAAAGTTCTGATTTTGGTACAGTTATTACTTTCAGTTTGGTTTCATTTCTGCTTTTAAAATACAGCTTTCTAGAGACCTTACATTAACTTCACAGATTACAGCTGACATAGAACAGAGGTATAAGGTATAAACCAAATATAAAAGGCCATCCATTTCCATGCATGATTAAATGCTGACTTAAGGTACCACAGTATTTTTGATCCCCAGAGTTTAATAAAATTCAGGACAGGCGATAAGGAGTCACAGACAAATTAAAATTTATTGAGACAGACAAAAATGCAACTATTTCAGACTACAGTTAAGCATTTACAGTTAACCAAAGATAGCAAAATGCTCACATTCCACTTAACTCCTTATGGAAAAAGCATTCAGAATTTACTATGCAAGCCTACTTACTATGGTAGTCTACATCCATCTACAGTAGGGACACCAAACTGAAACACGTAATATTTGGATCTCTCCTTACAGATCTACGCATTTAACAGTAATGGACATCAACAGCATTGAGAAAAGTATAAAAAGACCAAAACCCACCTACTGTAGAAAGGGTTTTTTGATGTATAGGAACTGTACAAAGCAGTCTATGTATTAAAGGAACCTGAATGGCATACAGGAGGGACTGCAATAAAAGCCAACAAATGTAGGAAGCTAAGCTTGAGCGATCTGGTGGTCTGTATCAAGTGGTGACCTTAGATCTATGTCATTTGCTGTTTGAGGGGAAAAAGCTACAAAACTTCTAATATCAAAATATTCCCATGCCAGAAATGTACACTGAGACTAACAGACTAGGCTGGCGAGGCAAAGAGAAGCATTCACTAACAAACAGTGTTGTTTTAAATATAAACTTTACATTTTCAATATAAACTGTAGAATAAATATTAAATAAACACTTCAAATGGTTTAAAATAATAGTACAGAATAGCTTAAAAAAAGACAAAAAAAAAAAAAAGGAAAATGGATTCTTTGTGTTCACAGCAAAGGCCAGTAATGACCCAAAAAACCCAACTGTGCTGAAATCTGAACTCAAGGAGATTTTGATTTAACCACAGTAGTTAAAAGGACACCTTGAAACATAAAGCAATGCCTAACAGTATTTCGTAGTCTCTAATATGAAAAGAAAATAAGATTAAAAATTGGTTTGTGTCTCTAAAAGAATGGGACAACTCTGATTCCATTTTTCACAATGAGAAGATGTTTGGAAGGTCAATGACTTGATGCAGATGGGAAGTCTTGCTTTAAAAAAAAAAAGAAAAGAAAAAGAAAGGAATTAAACAAAGCTGGAAGCAAATTAATCCTTTACAAAGCATGAAGAATGGAAGGGGCTTGATCTGGAAGAGCACTGGCTCTTGGTAGAATTGCTGGTTTCTTTTAAAGAAAAACATTTTATTAATGCATCTTGCCAAACTGGACACACACACAGATATGTGTATAAATGTATATATACAGACAGACATATATATATATACACACTTACGTCTATATAGGCTGCAGATCCCCCAACCACTGGAGGATGCCAGTGGATCACAAAAGGGCTTTGCTAAATTGCTTCAGAAGATTTGCAAACTTGCTCTTAAAGCAATCCATAGCCTGAGCTGCCCTTCCAAGCACAACAGCCTGTTCCTGGCTACGCTGGGACACCTTCTGATTTGACACGACTCTCTTTAAACTCCCTTGTAGTTGTACCCAACTGAACTAGTCAATAAAATGGCATTTTTTTTTCCAGTGCCAGCCCTGATTCAGAAGAACATTTGAACACCTGAAGCAGGTGATGGATCATCTGGTTAGGGGTGTGATCCTGAATCTCAGTGGGCTTAAAAGGTGAGAGTGTGTGTGTGTGTGTGGTGTCTGCGTGTGTGTGTGCACACGTATGTGTGTTTACATGCAAAGGATGTTGTGCCAGCAGAGGTCAGCTGAACCAGCCAAGGCATCTGCCCTCTTGCCTGGCTGTGCTGGGCACGGAGCAGTTGGACTGGTACCCACAGCACGTTCGAGCTGGTGAGTCTGAGATGATGGGAATTGTTTTATAGTTTAAGCTATGAAATCAGCCAGCTCTGGTTCGGAATAGTTGCATGCGAGAGATTACAGCTAGGAGAGGACCAAGGGTGTTGAGAAATGGATGGTGGTGGCACGTCTGCTTATGTAGGCTGAAGGATGTCCACATTCACTTTTAAAGACTTATTTAACAGCTTTTATTGAACCATCTTGCATGTTTGTACGTGACACAGAAGGGCTGCAATCTTGGAGCCTGCAGCAGCCTCCAAGGGCTCGGTTAGGCAGGATTTACCCTGGTGAGGTGCTGGGCAGGAGAAGGGATTTACTACGTGACCTTTGAAGTAATGCATAGTTCCAAGATAAGCCATGGCAAAGGGATGAGGGACTGCAGAAAAACTAGTTGTGTGTGGAGAATGAGTCCAGTCAGGGGGATAAGTAGAACTCTGGTGATTCTGGACCTCGGTTTTATGTCAGAGTGAAATGGCAACTCTGTGCCTTAGGCAGGTCCTGCACAGGACAGCAGAGCTAGACTCGGAAAGTATGGGTTTAACTAAGAAAATACCGGAAGAAAACCAGCCACAGTGTTTGAGAAGCAACCTACTGATGGTGTTCAATTGCTTCTCATGCAATCATATTATTTAGGGAAACAAAAATGCTGGTTGTATCTGTTCTTCTTGCAAGTCAGCATCATTTTCTGTGAAAGGCAAGTAGAAAAAGTGTGTGTGTGTGCGCTGTGCAGCTCACGGGCAGTGATTTTAAAATAAATTTTCAAAAGCTGTAGGAAAACCAAAGGGATTTGTGGCAGGGAGGATTGCAGGCCTTTTGCAAATGACTATGATGGCAGATTTCTGGGAGGATGCGGGGGCGTGAAACGAGACACAACAAATTCCTCACGATTTTACACATCCTTCTGCATCAATAACAATTACACAGGCTTGCTCTTTGCTCTCAGGTCATTGATCTAGATAAATAGGAAATGAAAGAGGAAAAAAACAACTGAGCCCCTGCAACACATAGTGTCGGAAAGGAGTTCCTCTTCTGATCCTGTCTGAGGTCCTCAGGGTGGGAGAGGGGCTGCAGAGCTCTGCCAGGCTCTGCAGTGGCCAGTGACTTAGGAAAGGGGTGAGGACCGCAGCCCTTGGGTCAGTGTCCCTGGAAAAGTGACTTCTGCCAACCAGCAAGGTATTTTCCTGACTCCATCCTGTCTCTGCCTCTATAACCAACACCTAACTCAGAGGAAAAAAAACCTCGATCTCCTTAGTTTCCTGTGTAATAAGCACATTTTTCATTCTGCAGAATAACTCACAGGCAAACACAGGCACTGCTGAAATACTTACATCTGCATCCTAATGCAAGAGTGGGGTTAAGGTACCTCTTACTGCTTCTGAAAACAGCAAAAATAATAAAAGGTCACCACAGTACATTACTGCATCAGAGAACTGCAATGGGAAAGGACACAGCAAATAATTTCATGTCAATATGCTGTGAAACAATTGCAGAGCTATGGATATATGGGAGATGCTGAGGGAATCACAGATTGTATTTTAATACTATTCTCCTTTACGTGTGTGCATTACCAGCGTGCAACTTGTCACAGTGAACAAAGGGGTTATGCTTTTGAAACATGACCACCTAAAGTTGCTTTTTTAAACAGGCCAAATAAATATTAACTACTCAAATTAAAGAAACGACAGCTTATTACTTTTGATGGTTAGTGTCTTTGGACAGCTTTATAACTTTGGAATGAGGGGTTGCTAAGAGTAAATGAAGAACAGGCGGATCCATAGTGTGTGAGCAGGAAGCACAGGCTGCCTGCACGACGTTAGTGCAACTCTTAGTGCTAAAAGCTGAGGAACAGCTACAGAGGTGGTTTATGGTGCTACAAATTCACAAAACACTCTTTTCTTAAACACTTTGAAAGGCAGATGGACTCTGTTCCCTGCCTGTAGGGCTTGGTCCATGGTTCTCAGCATCTCTTAAGATCAAGGGAACGTTCCTTAAACCAAATAAACAGCGTCAGTGAGCTGATCTACGCTCTGGTGGGAGCTTTGCCTACAGTGTGGGCTGGACTAAGCCTGTTGGACTCATTCTCAGAGAATCTAAGGAGGAGAAAATCCCGCCAGTGGGTTTCTTATTGGATTAAATCTCCTTGGTGCTGGGCAGCCAGAAGTCACTACCCAAAGAGACTTACTCTTTACTGGAACGTAACAAATAAGGACTAGAAAATGAGGCACCTAAGATTCCTTCTTCATAAAAGAAAAATAACTGCTTCTGACATGATCCAGGTAACAATTTACGACACAAATTCTCTAACACGAGAAGGACTTCTAAGCCTTGTATTGGTTTGTTGAGCCCCTTCTGCGATTCTTCTTTCACAGGATGTAATTCATGAGCTGTGCAAGTGAGGATTAAGACATGAAATGTTTTCGAAACAAAACTCATTGACCCTGTGGATAGAACAAAAATCCCCCAAACCGACTGAACAAAAGCAGTATTCCAAACAGTCCTTGCTGAAAAAAACAGTTGTCTTCCAAATTAAATAGATAATACAAAATTAAACTCAGTAGAGAGGGAATATTTGTGCCAGGTACTCTCAGATACAATTGCAGAGATATGATGTGACTTGCAATATTGTGCAAAACGTGAGTCCTCATTATGACGGGCACTACCATATATAACCAATTTCATCATCCTTATCATCATCTTCATCTTCATCATCTTCATTAGCTGCTCTTACATGAATCTTCAGTTTCCCTTCTTTGTCTTTTTTTGCTTCAGGCTCCTCTTCCAAATCATCCAACAACACAACAGATCCACCACTGCCAAAATCCCCTGAGGTTTCTTGCTCTTCTTCTGAAACAGGTGAGCAGGAAAGGTCATTCCCTCACATGACACCAAATCCCTCGCTCATCACTACCCTTGTCATTCAAGCCACTCTCATTTGCAACGTTACTTTAAAAAATTCATTGGTTCAGCTATTCAGGAAACAACCTTTACGTTTCAATTTTCATCCTGAGCTGGGATAAATTATATACCTAAAGTTATTTGCATAAAACCCTATGCATTGCTCTCCTCCTAGAGACTCAACCAATTTTAAGGAGAGTACTGACTCAGTTCACACGCATGCAGGCCAGAAAATCATCACTCATTTGCAAATACTTTCATCCCATCACAACTCTATAAACCCAGCTAAAAATATTCCACAAATTGATTGTATTTGAGTGCATAAACCATGCTCTGCACATGTAGCTACTGAACCTAACATCTGTGATGTGATTCTGGGCGCTTCAGACCTTCCAGGTCTCTGCTTTTTCTGTTCCTTCTCAAAGAAGAAAGCTGCACCCACAACCATCGCCGAAGCACTCCGAAGGAATACAGCTGGAATCTTGCTTGCCTAGGTGTAACAGCTAATTGGTGATTTCACATACCTAAATAATATTGTCCTGCCAGCGATTTTATTGGGCTTGGTTGTTAATTTATAAAATTTTACACAGGCCTTCCTTTGTCTGGAAAGACATTATTCATGAAGTCGCAGTAAATGTGCGTTCCAGAGCATACAGAACAATATATTTAATAACCATGCATAGCAATCCCATAGCCTTAATTTTAATCTAAAATACTACATTTTCCAGGCTGGTAGCAAAAATACCATCTTATCAGTGGCTTCAGCAACCCCAGTCCAAAGGACCAATATGTATATAAATGCCCCATTTGTAGTCTGGATAGGAAAACACGGGAGCGCTTTGAACACTCGTAGTGATGTTTCCCTGTTGTCACTTCGGTTATCGTACTCCATCGTACAGCAATGGCAGGGCTTACAACACTGTTAATTCCTTCGTTGTCTGCGGAAAGCACGTCATTACTCACCACAGCTCACTGTCCCTTGCTTTCTTGAGCCGGCTATCTCGTTCCCGTACTTATCGACACACCAGCACTGCCCTGTGCTGCCATGGCACTGAGTGGCTTTGTAATAACCTTCTTCGTTGCACCGTGGGATGAAAGCACCTGAATAAAACAGAAGGTATAATCAGTAACGCAAGCCTCTGTAGGAGCAAGCAGGTATACAGAGTATTGCGAACCCGTCGCTTATTTACGTGAAGATCTTTCCAACGTTGGCAAGAAAATACATGTGATTGTCTGGTGCCTAAAAGGGAGCAGAAATTATATATGATTAACTATTTTCAGCCACTCTGGTCACTGTGCAGCGCATAAATGTTGGTGCATGTACAGCTCATGGAGGGTGATGGCACGTGGTCCTAGAGATAGGGTTGGGTCTGCCCCTGAATGACTAACGTTCCCGCAGAGCCCCTTTCAGATTTAACTCCTGGTTTTAAGCTTTGCTTCTCAACTGGATTATTACCCCAACTTCATTAATTCTGCATTTCCCTTCCATTTGCACTCCTTCAGTGTTTATCACATAAGTCTTTCCACAACACTGTAATTATCCCTGGAAGGTATCTGCCATCTGCTTGCTATTCATACTAATCTCAAGCACAACTTCCGACTTGCCCAGAGTTCCCATGTATAAAAGCAGAAATAATACATGAGCATAACCTTTACAGAAAGGCACAACAGGATTTGAAGTCAGAAAGTCTTTGGATTTGAAGCCCAAGATTTGTCTCACAATAAAACCAATATAGTTCAGTCTCGTAGAGTGTGGTTCATTCTGGCTTCTGCAGACAGGGAAGCTCTCAGGAGAAACCCATTTTACTGTTCCCACCATTTTCAGCAGCTACAGCAAACGTACTTCAATATGAAAAGCCCTCTTGTCCTTCGAGATGAGTTAGCTTGATTCCCAGGGGAGGTCAGTACAGTCATTTTCCCTCCTTTGCCAATTGCTTCAATTTGAAACATGGCAGAAACCCACCTTTGCCCCCAAATTTCTTGTCTCAAATGATTTTTGAGAAAGTATTTTTCTCCTTTGTCAAAGATACCAGTGATTTACTAGTCACGCAGTAAGTTTTTTAACTAGTTCCATGTGTATAGCACCTCTTCAGACAGTTCATGTGTCAAAGGGGCTATTTCCACTACATTTCTCACCGAAAAAAATGAATGAGAAGATGCTGCCCAAATGTCATGAAATTTGCTATATAAAAGACATAAAAGTGGAAGTCAGTCAATCACCTACACACCCCCCCCCCCCCCTAATGTAAATCCTTGAATTTCCAAACTCGTTGCACTGCAGATCTTGTCTAATGTTTGAGTGCTGCTAACGGAGGTCTGAAAGATGGGAACAGAAACCTTTGAACATCTGCAGAAAACTTTGTTCATCTGATCAGTTTTGGAGACCACTTCATATCCATTAGTGAGAGTATTTTAAGTAACTTCAAAGCATGATCTTGTAGCAGGTTTGCTTATCGGTACCACCACTATGTTAATGGACAAATGTAAGCACAACGATGACTACCAAAGCCTCATTTTCACTATTTATATAAAAAAAATGGTTCTAATAAGCATTTATATGTATTCATCTTCGCAGGTTTTCATAAGTTAATGCTCAGTGTTCAATCCTTTATTTCAATATTGATTAGGTGTTTTTTCATATTCATGCTCATGTCCTCTCTCTGTTAAGCACTCCAGGTGTTTATTGGACTATACACAACTTTGGGAAAAGTGCTCAGGTGCTGATTTTGAGCTGGTGTAAATCAGTGTAGCTGTACCAGTGTCACTGGAGTTCCTGTTATATCCAAGGAGCATCCAGCTCCAGGGAGGAATCAAAGGGGGAACCTCCGTGGCATTGCAGGGTGAGCAGAGAATGGCCTCTGCGTTTTGAACTCTCTCATGCCTTCGCTTTTCCTTGGGCAATGCAACCTTTCCCTTCTTTGAAACAGGCCTTTTTGCACCGTTTCACTGTGTTTCTTGTAAGGTATTAAAATGTTCCACGCTGCCTGTAGAAGCCATAAATTTAAAAATAAATTATGGCCCGGGCTCACTGCCAACATAACTGTGTGTGGAGAGGATTCACACTTTGGGTCAGAGCGAAGAGTAGAAGAGGCTTTTCCTTCTGTATGTGGAATTTGTGCCAATTTGTATGTAACACCGGAGCTTTAAATATTTAGCTACGCATACTAACGTCACAGCATTTGCCAACCATCACAGGGGAGATTACAGCATGTCCTCTCCAATGTGGTAGGTGCAGGTGATACTCTCGTGAGGATGAGAGTCCCTGGGAGCAAATGCTGCACAGCGTGATGATCCGTCCTGCAAACCCTACACAGACCAGCCCCTGTGTTCATTAGGAATGAGCTCTGCTATGCTGGAGCATGGCATCCAGACAGCCCCTTTAGTGGGAATGTTTCACCTCGTAATTTGGTTTGGCGTCAGAGAACATCTGCAGGGTTTGAAAGACAAAGGAGTTCACGTTTCCTCTCCAGAGGCTGTTGCACAGACAAGTGTGGAGTGGACCAGCTTTACTATTAAGCACTACAAAACGTTAGTCATTGCACTGAACTGCCTCAGGCTACTGAATCCTGCTTCCTCCATCTCTCTTTGTCCCATGGAGTATTTAATTATTCCATGCAAATTTGAACAGCACTGTTGCATCTACATCCTCTTTACGGATCCAGACCTGTATCTCTTTTTTTTTTCTGCATCATTTCCTTACCTATATAATACTCCCCTTCCTCAGAGGACACGGGGAGAATAATTATACGCTAAAGATAGTGAAGCACACGGGTAAAAGCCCGACAGAATTCAGTGCTAACCGGCACACGGCTCCCTGTACCAGCTATCACGTTAGCTGGATTCACAGGGCTGAGACAGAAGAAAACAGTGACGGGAGCAGAAATTTATTACCTTAGTGATGTGGGAGAAGCATTATCAGGCCGCACAGTTGTATGCTCTAAAAGTACACTCTCTGCAGTTAATTGTACTCTAGATAAATCTGGTAGGAAAAGATGAATAGTGCTGTTTACTTTTTAATTCAGTCCCCTGGGATGCTAGACTCTATTTGAAAGCCTCCAAATTCAACATATCTAATGGCAATGGCTTTGAAGTACTTTGTTGCAACTGGCATGTGTTTTGAAAAATATAGAGAGGACAAAATATCAAAAGTCATCATTTTTTATCAATGAATACAAGTTAACAGAAATCTTCTTCAAGTGTACTGTCCAGGCAGTAAATGCTGTGCTCTATATGTCAGGGACAGAGAAGGAAAGAGAATATTTAAAGGCTGGTTTCTCTGAAAATATTCATCTCTCTTTTCAAGCTTTATTGTTGCTACAAGCGTGCTTTTTGTCACGTGTATGTTTTGGTTTCCATTTGCATTGTTTTTCAGCCAGTGAAGAGAAAAGACAATGTTTTCTGCTGTATAAACAGCTATGAGACCAGATTAAAATCTCAAAGACAGGTGCCATTATGCAGGCAGACTTTCAAGGTAGGTGAAGCATAAAGTTCCTCTCTATATTATAATTTTCTAGCTTGTGGAACAACCTATGCTTGACACTTCTTGATATGTTGAGCTTAGCCACTTTTATCCTTCATTTTTTTAAATGCAGTTGACTAGAAGTTATTTGTGGTAAGGGACCATTCCTACTGCTTTTACTTTGTCATTTTACTCCTGCTATTGTGATCAGATCCCAGTGATGAGTGGTACAACTGCCTGCATGTTGTACTACCTGCAATATAGTCATCATTTTTCCCTGCACACTGGAACAAACCACTTATGTTTCAACCCAGATGACATTTATTGCATATGGCAAATAACAGCAAAGCATAAAATAAATACGGGATAGCCAAAGCTATCTATTAGGAACTGGGCTTCTTATTCTTTTAGGTGGTTTTGAAAATCATGACACCCATGAGACATAAACCACCGTGACTTCCTCCACCACAACATGCATTTGAACACAAATGCAAAATATTTACCTAATGGAGCATATATATAACTAAGCGATCAATCCTCCCTTTGCTCCCACAGCTATGAACAGCAGGAGCTCCAAAACTCCTTAATTTTTATGTGAACTTGCTATGAAAGGATGATGGTACCAAACCATAGTCCTTGTGGCCTTTGAGAATGTTTTTTCTTGCTTTAAATCAAAGAATCCAGGTTGGGATTGTACATAAGGTACCTGAACCTTGAGTCCAAATGGCAGTGGCCAGCGGGAATGGCAGGGGTTGGCAAAGACCAGCTTTGCAGAAGCTCTGTTTGCAGGGTCTGCTAATGAGGATCTAGGATCGTCAGACTACAATCTGAAGAGTGACCTGAGAAGCAGACTGCAATCTGAGAAGCATTTCAGCAGAGCTGACATGTGTCCTCTGTGCTGCAGCTAGTGATGCTGTAAGAACCTGATCCGAGCTCCTGCTGCTGGCCTGGCAGCCTGGCTCTGAGGCAAGCCAGACTCTCCAAAGGTGAAATGCAGGGCTTTCTGCAAACAGACACTTTAACCAGTACTGATATGCCCACGTGATTCACTCTTAAGTACAGGAATGCACTGGGACAGAAGTTTCAATAAGATACCACCACATAAACGCCAGGCTATGTAAAACCAGGTGATTTTAGGGTATAGAATAAGTTACTTTCAATTTACTCAGTTCAACAACTTGAGTTTTTAGCAATTAAATGGGAAAATGCCATATGGGAATTTAATTCATCTAATTTTAGATATCCATCAAAGCAGTGTAAGTTATGAATCAAACCAGGCTCCCAATAGTCAGCGAAGAGAGGGGTGGGCATTATCACATCTTACAGCACGGAGCATCCTGCAGGCCTGCCTCAAATGAGATGATACAAATTCCTGTTTTCATATACATGGGATATACTGCAATATTTTTAAGGATGATTAGACAAAATTGAACCCCGAGGAACACATGCATTGCACCACAACTGGAAGAAGACATGAACCCACTGGATATGCACTGTGGCACCTTCAGTCACCCGTCGAAAATAGAAGGATTGAGTATCAAGCAGCCTCTGTACTTACTCTGACCTAGGAGGTGATGAAGGCAGTATTAAGCTCTGTGCAGACAAGGCTTTGCATTTCTGGAGAGCTGTAAATTAGTTCTGAACCGGTTGCCACGCTGACACCTGTTCCGAACGTTGCTATCTCATTATTTGTTTAATTTCATAGTGTCAGGTCTACACTCCATGGTACATATTCCCAACTCAAAACATTAGTCTCTAATTGAAAAACCATTACTGCATATAAAGTTACAATAATCACAGAAGCTTTAATTAGTTGAGTAAATGAATAGCAAGTGATCGAACTTACCCAACAGACTCTTCCCTCTACTTAGCTTTTGAATTCTATTCATTTCATTCTGGCAAGGAAGACCTAAAATATAATGTATGAGAATCAGTTTCCAGATGGTACGGGACAGACTCTGTAATGACTGGCTTCACCACTGACATGAAATGTAGACTACTGTACACCTGGGAACGAAAGAAGCCCATATGCTGGTACTGTACTGCAAAACAAATTTATGACATTAGCTCCACTAATTAAAAAAAAAAAATCTCAACACACTGGAGTTGAGAATAGTGTTTGGGGGCCGTTTTCATTGTTAAACCGTTTTTCCTCTCTTTTCACCAAACTGACACAATGCCAGCTCTCTGATTTATGATTTGCTAATTGACTAATTTCTGCATTAATAAAAGAGTAAGTTCTTGAGCTTTCTATCAGCAATAGAGCTTATTTCTAGACTGTGTGCACTGGCACTTAAGACTTCTTTGTTTGTTTTAATGATCAAGGGATATTAATACAGTTCACCTGTGACATTAAGCCTTGTTACACAACGCCCTTTCACACCAGTGCTAGAGAAAAGAGCTTTTTAACACAGCTGATTGCCAATTACCAAACTATCTCTACAACCAGATCAATCAAACCTGAAACACAGGAGGACCCAACCAACTTCTCTTCCTACTGCCAATGGCACAACTCACCGCCCGGCTTCTGGAAGCAGTAGCACCACTCGTTGTTCGAAAGCTTTCCATCTTTGAAGGAGTCACAAGAGTTGAAGAGAGGCTTGACGCACGGCTCATACTTATCCAGATAAATGGCACTGATCTCCGAGGGATCCAGCAGCAGGTCATAGTTCATGTCAAGTTTGTTGAACATCCAGCCTAAGGAATCCTTACAGATTGGTAGTATGCTGGTGTCAAATCCTGTAAGAAGAGAGGCAAATATCCCCAATCGAACCCCAGCATGCTCAACGCACAGGAATCATTGCTAAGCAGAAGACTTTATAAATTTTTTTTGGCTAGACTCTGAACATTAACTTGACTTGCCCAAAGCTGAACAAAATTCTAAGACTTGAACTGATTGTGTAAAGCTTAAAACCCAAGCACGGCTGCAGGCTAGAGCATTACTGACACTCTTTAGAAGGCGTGGGGTGGAGAGGGCTGAGATTCATAGCTGATTACTGTAATTCAAAGTTATTTCTACTCAAAAAATTCTCACCTTTTTTTTTCTATCCTCAGTCCAAGTGGGCTGGCCTGAGTTCCAAGAAACTGAAGTGTGATGACGAAAGGCTGCATCCACTGTATTTTCAAACTAAATTGAGTCTGAATGAAATTTAAATCCTGTTTCCAGACCCGTTTCTAGTTCCCTGATCAAATTCTTTCCTACTATGCTCTCACTTTCCATCTCTTGTCCTAGCTTTTCACTCTTCAAAGCCCTTCCTCCTGTGATGGACAACAACATGCTCTGATCTGGACTGTGAGCTGTCAGGGGGAGGCAGGGAGAGAGAAGGGACGAAGGGCATCTTTTGCTTGCCCCACTCTGAAGAATGGCACTGCTTCAGCTGCAAGCTCCAGAGAACTGCATGTGCTCTTCTATGCCATACCAGCACCATTCCTTCTTGTGGCCTCCAGGATTGTGCAGCAAAACACAATTCTGCTCTTCTAGCACTTTGAAAACCATCATCATCATTCATTTTAATAGCTCAAATCCTTAAAAGACTGCAGCAGCAGCAGCAGTATCACAGAAAGACTGTCATGCATATAGATAGCCACAATGTATAAGGGATACATGTTCCATTATTCTGCAGGCTCCACAAAAACAGTGGCATTGCTTTCTTTCACAAACAAGTCAGGGCACTATAAATCCATACTGCCACTGTATTTTCAATGCTTGGTACAAACATGGACTAATTTCCAAGTTATCTATGATGCAAGCAAATACATTTGTAACATAGAGCTAATAAATCTGAAAATAAGGATATTGTTTTCAACAAGGACTCACAAACAGGTTACATTGGCTGGGGATGTACAGGCACAGAGGGACCCTGAACCACGTACCCTGGGCACCGCACGCTCACACAGTTTCAGCTGCGTGTGATAACCTGCCTGGGCACTATTCATTCCACTATGGGCCATGTCAAGAAGTCTGACGGGCTTTTTCCTTTCGCTGCATCTTTCATTGAAAGAGGTCAAACTTAGCCTTATCTGCTGTAAGTGTCAAGTCCCATTTCAGGATGCTGCTTTGTTAAAGCAAAACCTAAGATGTTGCTGGACTCACGCTGACAGTTTGTCCAAGCTCTGCAGCCTACCTGCTATTTCAAGTATTAATCCAAGGGAGGGCAGTGCTTTGTGCTGGAAGCTGTGCTTTTCGTATGCAACTGTGGCTGAAGGTTGTCAGTGAGATGGAGGAACAATCTGAAGGGTTAACTAATGGGACGGTTTATGTCATTCATAATACATGTTTCTCTGAGAAGGGAAAAAGGTAACTCATTTCCTCAGGGCTAGAGGCAGCTCAGGCGGGGAAGAAAGAGATCATGCTTGAACATTTCATCGTGTTTTTGTGCCGTTATCCCCTCTAATGTTATCTAAGCGAGTTTGAGCACAGTGAAAAAGGCTGTGTGAACAGAGTGGGGAAGAAGCCTGCTTGCCTTGCTGAAGCAATTAGGAATATTGACTTCAATTACTTTATTCATCTGAAGAAGGTAAGCAGGATTTGGTCACTGCAGACTCATTGATAAGAATCCCTCACTTTGTCTTTACAAAGCACCGAGGAGCAGAGCACGCAGTCCTGCCTCGTGCCGGTGTTCGCTGTGCCTCATTCCCCACCACGGGGCAGGGTAGAACTAGTCAAACAGGCAGGGGTGGATCATTCAGTTGTATGGTGGAGCAGGGACCAGTACACGCTTCGGCTACCCCAGTTTAACAGTTTCCAGGGGAAAAACAGCTGGATTCCCTTGGCTGCTCTTTTCCTGCACAGATGCCCTCTCTGGCGATGGTCTTTACGCCCTGTCGTGGCACTTACTGCTGCTACGGTGAATAACTACAAGGTCTGTTCTACAACCACTTGAGTACTGTACGTGTTGCTCAGCCCCGTGGGTCTCTAAAGGTCACCTCCTAAGTGGCAAGGATCAAGGCAGGGAGGAGGAGATCCTGGCGTGAACTTGCCCCTGACAGTGTCTGTGGATTATTTCTGAGTCTTGTTTTCCTCCCTGCTGGGAAGTCTTTATCTGTGTGTACAACATGCACCCAGGGACACAACAGTGCCCTCGGTACTGAGGTGTCTGAGCAGATCACAAGATAGTGACTGATGTGAATACGAAGCTGCTCTGTGACATACCATCAGGGCGTGGATGCAAGATACCATCATGAAAGGTCACTTACGATGACAGTTAATTACATTAGTTGAAGAGTTTTTTGATTGTAATTTCTTATAAAGAAGGGAGCTTTCACTATTGTGACCAGCGTTCCAGGTTAGGTTTATTAAGAGGCTGCATTATTAAGCAGTGCTTCATTATTAGACAGCGTGGTCTGGAAGTCTTTAAACATTACAGTGGTAGGTGCAACAGAAAGCCCTCAGCTAGATTCTATGATGGTTATTGTCAGTGAAAAGGTTAGTTCTTTAATTGCCCCTCAGTATGTGGTTGAAGGTGAATAGCATTATCTACCTCTACTTCATATTGTCTCCTGATAAAGCTACTGCCCATAAATCACTTTTTGCAATGCTGCATTTGCAGCCCAAACCCAGCAATCCTGGATGATCTTGGCACCCAGCAACAGGAATGAAAGCAAAGTGTGCCTTGAGTGTGCAACGCAGGCACTGACTCAGTGTCTAACCAGGGCAGCTGATGGAAAACAGTTCTCAGAGCTCATCTGCCTTCACCGGGAGGTCACTGTGCTCCCATCAACTTGGTGAAGCCAAGTGATGTTGAATGAATTAACTCCTTGTTAGAGTTTTTTGAAATACTTGCTTATAAACACGATGTGATTATGTTAGATGAAATAAACCACATACTGTAATTCTGTGATGAATTAAGTGCTTGGTTAATAGGCTGGACTTCTAGCACAACAGACCTGCAACAACAGTAACCTCCATAAGAACTTTTCTGCATCTTTCTGTGCATCAGCGCAGCCCTGCGGTGCCCATGGGGAGAAGCAAGAGAATGGGGCAGGCTTCATAGCCCTCCTGCTCTTGGCTCCTTGGCAGAGGCTGCCAACACAGATGCCAATTAAAGTCAGTTGTGGTGGTGGTTGCTCTCATTTGGACACCTGCTCACAAGGACCTGGCTTGAGACCACTGTGTTTCTCATTCCAACTGACAGCTGTTCAGTGTCCTAACAACTTTCATTCACTACAGATTTGGAAGGAAATCAAACCAGTGACCTACATGTGAAAGTCTCATATCCTATTAATACCTAAAACGCTCCATCTCCTCTGAATTAAAATGGAATTAAATTTAAAAAAGTCTTTAAGTGAAAATCGTAATTAAAAATAAACACACCTTCTGGCACATAAAATTATTTTCCCCCTTCAAGAGTTGACTTACATGAGTAAGTTTTATTTTATTAAAGTACACTACAATTAAATTAACAAGGGAATAATTAACCTAATTTCCCCCATCACTTAAAATAAAGGAAGGAGAAGAAAGGTTCCCCAGAAAAAATCCTTTATACTGCATAGATCTCTAGTAAAAGAAAAACAACTCCCACTCCAACCAAAGAGACTATCTAGCTGCAATACGGGAATGTTACGAATTATCAACAGGCTCAGGAGCAATTTGAATCTGATCTTACTACCTAATTAGTTTTATTATTTCCTTATGTCAAAGCATGTCCCAGAGTTGCTTATATTATTTATTGAGGAGATTCCAATTGTACAAAGCCTGCAGAAAGACAAAGTTCCTGGCCTACGGTGCTTTGCTGGGATCTGGCAGATAGCTCACTGAATGATAGTTTGAGATTTCAAACACAATGACTTGTCCTCATTCTTTTTCTTTCAAGAGAGTGTGTTTGTTTTTTTTTTAAAGTGTACTTTTTTCCTTCACCTGGGGGTGAACTTAATACACTCAAAAAGCTTATTTACACTCACAGTAACATCTTGAAAATTTAATGTAGCATAGAGAAATCTCTGCTGGAACACCTTCTCTAGACAGCTGATGTGTCCAAGGCATCTTAGTCATCGCATCCCACCATCTGTTCCTTTTACTGCCACAGGGGCATACCCAAAACGGATTACTTTGAGGATGCGTATGCCTTTTAAGACTCTACAGGCATAACCAAACCAGTTCAGTTTAATGAAGTGATCAGCCTGGTGAGGAGGGCAACACATGCAGAGCAATAAAAAAAGGGCAATGCATACATCAGAGCGTATTTCCAGAGCTGTGTGTGTCCTGTTTGGTAGGATTCACACAAATATTTGTTTTCAGCTTGGGTATGTGAACTTTGCTTTGAATTTTGAGCCTTGTTTAAGATGTCTTTCATTTTTACAAATGTTTGAAGTTAGAGGAAGCCAAATACTGCTGTCCTTACTCTGTGTGTATATTCAGTGCTTCCAGAGAGAACTGGAGCTGCAGAATTTGACACATGCAGATTAATTCATGAAGACTGTTACAAACTCTTAAAAAGAAAAACAAGCCCAAGTTTTGTGGCATTCAGAAACGATTCAGGCATCTTAACTTGTAAAGTTTCTTTCTTTTCTTTTAAACTGACATACAAGAAAATAAGAAAATGTGCCAAACTAAGTCAACAGTCTAAAAATGAACATTGTTGAGATCAAGTGTTTAAGATCATCAAGGCAGCCTTTCATATAAAAGCTGCCAGGAATCAAACTAAACTAAAAAGAGATAACAGCTCCTCTGTGAATCAGAGCAAACACTGCAGAATTGCCAGGAATGTTTTTCTCACTGAAATTGCTTCAGCAAAAAAAAAATAAAAGACCCAACACCTTTAGGAATGAATTTGTTCTTAGGCATTTGCTAAGTTCCTCATGAGCAGCCCACAGGTCATCTGCATGAAAAACATCCTTTTGACAGTCTGATAAAATGATATCTCATGTGCTCCTGGGCCCCAAGGACTTCAGACAAAGTTTTAAGTCTCTGGCGTTTTCTGTCATGGGGTATGAAATTAATTCACATCTTGAAGCCATGATTAGCTGTACATCCAGTTGCCTTTTTGCACTACGGTTTGGCTTCCCCTTGCATGATAACACCCTTTTTTGGAGCAGCGTTTAAGAAATAAGTAGAACACGTGGTTTTAAAGATACTGACTTTGTTGTAAATACTATTAAAAGTAAGTGACATACGAAAAAGATCGTTTACACAAAATGTGGCTTCTTTCACCACATAGTTTTAAGATACAATTACTTAGCATTAATGAGGTTTGACCGTAGTTTTGAGCAATGTAGCCCAGGGTATACACTGTCTCTTTTGGAAGAGGCAATTTATTGCTACACAAACTCAAACGTAGCAGAAAAGAAGAATGGCTGTGGAGACACAGACCAACAGCAAATGCCCATCCTGATGTGCTGGGTCTGCTCTACTGCATGTTTAGCTTCTTCAGCCTCTCACTACAGAGAAACTAGGGACTGGGGTCAAAAAAGTCGTAAAAGGGAGCAGTTGACTGAACCCTTTAAATTTGTGTGTGCAAACCCTGGTTTTGGACACCTTGTACCAGAGAATCAGGGCAGTGAAGTGAAGGTGAGTCACACACCAGGATAAAATTTGCACATTCTACTTTGCAACCCAGGGGCCCGCGTGTTTTGGGACATACTATTTAAAAGGATTAATGAGTCCTTACAGAAAATAAATTCGCATCTGCTCTCTGATGAACATGACCTCTTTTGATGCTGTTATCTGAATCTTTCCCCTCCCTGGTGGGTAAATGACATCAAAATCAGTCATGTTGGCTAAACCCACAGAGAGCAAATGTCCTCTAAAATGCTCATTTTCTTCCTTTCCTAAAAAAACCCCAAACATCAAAGGAAGCAAAGATGGTGTTATTAAATACCTGGGACACAAAAGATTCCAGCTTTCCACACCATTTAACTATTTCAGCTCACTGACTGCAATGCAGTTGCTTTTATTATCCTTTCTCTTCTACAAGGCATTTGTTAGCAAGAAAGTGCAAAATAAAATCTAAGTGAGTCTTTTCCAACATTGGCATAATTTTCCTTATGCTTGTATGCCATGTTTTTGGCTCACGCCGCTGACATTGGAACAGAAAATGCTGGGAGGTAAGCATATGCCACAGCCCATCCCCAGGAAGTGACTCGGATGCAGTCACGCCGACTTGGAGGATCACGGAGTTCAGCTGTACAGACATGAACTGTGTTACGCCAGTTAACCTCAGGGCTTGAGAAGAGTCCCTGAGCAGTTTTATTTACTGGTGTAGACGTGACCTCCATGGACTTCAGACACCATTATTTGCCTGATTAACTTGTAAAGGTGTCTCTGCCTCTGACTGCCAGTTTTCAGAGCAGCTTGGGCCAGGGAGAGTACAGAACGACCACGGCTCCTTTAGAAAACGGTCCAGCAATTTATTTGCAGGATGAGGTCTCCTGCGTATCTGCTTACTCGCTGGCACCTGCTTGACATGACACTGCAGCCCCAACAGCTGTGCCCGGCTGAACGCGCTCGCAGGCTGGGAAGCTGCCTACAATACTCAAAGCTCAACGGGAAAGGTGTTTTCTTACTGCCTTGTGCCATCTCCGAGCTTGTTGGTTTGATGACACGATTCGCATCCTCGTGAAGAGCGCCGAACCAGTCTTTTAGTCGCGACGCGAGGCTCCTCAGTTCCTTGTCTGTGCAAGCTGGAAAAAGAACAAAGGACTGGTTTGAGTCAAGAGCACCAGCGAAAAACCCTTCTCCAGACAGTCTATCAGAAAAATACTGTTTATGGTTGTAAAGTCCTTGTTAAGAGCTCTGAAGTAAAAGAGAAGGTTAGGGAAAAGGATACAAGTTAAAAAGAAAATGTAAGTAATAATGAATTATAAGTTGTACTCGGGTATCTCCTCAGTAGGTGGCATGATTTGTGATGGAAGAAGTGACACGCGGAGCTATCCGTAGGTTCTGGATTAGAGCTATGTGACTGTTTAACTTCAATGTTTTCACCTTTTAGGATTTCAGAGAAAAGTATCAGTCAAGCAGATGGGGAGGAGGGACATACTTGTCTAGACACACTACTCGAACAAGATGCTAGGAATAATTTATAACCACATTTGGCTTGGTATAAGGCTATTATCACAGTAATAGGAAGTATAGATACTTATTTATATACATAAAAAGGAAAATTGTTATGTTGCTCTAGTTCTCCTGCAATGAGACTTTGCCACCTCTGAAGGTTGTCAATTCCTTTTTGTTAGCTAGGTAAACCATTTCTTTTCTTATAAATTTTTACTGAGAAATATCTAATTTTCCCATAAATTTCCGCCAAGAGATTGATGTCCAGCTGAAGTAAATATTTTTAAGGAAGAAAGCTGCATTAGTCACCAGTTTCTGTCATAAAAAATATTCTTGTTCCTGTATCATGTTTAGTGCTTAAAATTCACATGCTCAGATAATTTTATTATTCCGGCTGTGCACTCATTCTACATTTTAAATCACATTTCTTGGAATACAGAGCAAGATTTTATGCCACAGAGGCAGACATCCTTCACAGGGCAAGCCACAATATGTCTTCTCCAATTCACTGCACATTATAATATTCCTCCATCCACCTTATTGAAGAACAATTGATTCCCACAGTTTGTCTTCCCAAGTTAAACTCACCGCTCCACTGACTGCAATGAACTCACTGATATCTCAGGGCTGTGGTGAGTATTTGTTCTCAAAGAGTTTTTTGGGGTCAGAAATAATTCTGAAGTTAAAAATAGGACATTATAGCTTTTTCTAAGTGCAAAGTTTTTTAGCATTTGAGGAGGGGTGAGAAAGAAAGATTTTTCCCATTGTTCTATAATGCTGAAAGAGTTTGATAGGTTTTCCTATTAAAGATAAAAATACGCAGATCACTATCCCACTAAGGTTGAGTCTAAGTAAAGAAAAATGAGGTCTTAAAGAAAAAAACCAATTAATGTAAAAGAAACAGAAGACAACGTGATATTAACTGTAAAGTGGCTTATATCACCGAAAAACCTTATCACTTTATTTTCTCACTTACATTAACATTATATTTTACTTACTGTAAACTATCTTTGCAAGTTCAGACAAAAATCATGGAGTGACAGGATTTTTGAGCCCACCATGCCATCTTTTCTGTAAGGAACATCTCACGCTGCTATTGTTCCTTAGCTGTTACTCACAAAGTCTTTTATCAGAGAAAAATCACAACACAAGCAATAGCAGAACAAATTCCATCACTCTGCCTGTAACAAACCCCCATTAGGAGATGTTGCCTGAAGGGGTGAAGGGTAGGAAGAAAAGTAATTTTACAGGTAATAAATATTCAGGAATGAACTAAGTCTAGAGAGGCATGAAAGAGTCCTTATTTTGTGAATTTAGATCCACGAAGATAAAGAAATTTCTGTCATGTACTAATTTCAACGGGAGATGGGCACCTAAGTACATGTTAAACATGATGGGATGGGAGATGCTGTTCCTGCATCCCTGTGGAATCGTTTTCAGTCAATTTTCATCAGACATAACTTTTGCCAAAATATTCTCAGACAACCACAGTGACATGAGAGACCACAGTAGCCTCCTTCTCAATAACTTGTCTTCGCAAATGTTTTCTGAGAAGGAATGTACCGATAATCACATCACCTTTATGAACTAAGAGTAGGCAGTGTCTTTTCTTTCCTTCTGCCAAGCAGTCTCATCCTTTGAAAGTCAATTTTGCAAAGGAGAAAAGAGAAATATAGTGCATAAGTGTTGTTTAGCCAATACCTCGTACATGACAGGTTATCCGTATGTCCAGAGTATTTCACAAATTTATCTCCAGTCAAATCCACACATAGAAACCCAGCTTTAAGTACTAATTGTTTTCAAGTGGTTGAAAAAAAGAGGATTCAGTTGTCCAAGAAATGAATAGCGCAGTTTCATTGTACAAACCTCCTACTTATTGAATACCTATTGTGGCACATGACATCTTTAGGAAGCCAAGGCTGGAACTCTGGACTATATACACCCATTCCGGTGCCTTCCTGACACCCTCATCATGCCTTCTGTGTAGGTGTACTGAGCTTCACAGATTTTAAGTCAACAAGTCACAGGGAAAAAAAAAAAAAAATCACCGAAAATACCCTCTAGGGCTCTTTTCCTTATTCGTATTTGTGTTCTTCCAAATACAAAGATGATGCTAGACACCACAGAAACCTGAGGTAAGTCAAATGCTCTCAGGGATGCCCTATTCGCTCTCAAACTCGCAATGGCATCCTGCCAGTGCAGAGTGCCAGGCAGGAGGCTTGGGGCACCCTTGTCTCCTCTCCCAGCCTCAGCACCCTGCAGGATGGCCTTCCCAGGGAAAAACTAACGTCTCTAAAAGAAATGTCACAAAGTGGTAATTTGGTTTAAACGACACTGACTGAGGTAATTTGAATCTGTGCTTTTAAACTGCAATAGAACACAGGATTGAACGCACAATGTAGGTGGAACAGAAGTAGATTAAGTAACGGTAAATCAGACTTGAAATGATTTCTCTGTATAGTCCAGCCAATCAAACATGTCAGGATCTGTAAAACGCCACTCATAACGAAGTCATTGCATTTTTTTTTTTTTTTGCTTGTCTGTAATGCTAACTGTGCCGAGAACCAGCTTTTAACATGTACATGGACATTCTCACTTACATCAGTTCTCTGCCATTACCCAAGTGCTGCAATCCATGACTTACATCAGCTCGGTCATACCCTACGGCTGGCTCAAAAACCCCACGATCCTCCTGTCATTCCCTAACAATATTCCTCTTGATTTTGTTGGAGTAGGAATAGGCTTTCTGTCCCTTCTATGCCGTAGCTTCCCCGAAGACTGCCTCATTCACTCTCTCTGAGGGCAGCCTTGAAAAGTGGACCTTGGATGATGCTTTCTCTTGTCTTCACTGCCACACAAACCCTGCAGACTTCCTTTGGAATTTGGTCTGAGGCACGACTTGACAGTAAGCCCAGAACTGGAGTCTTCTGCATTCTGGGCAGGATTTTTTTTTGAGAATAAGTGAGATATTCCTTAATTATGTTGCTTAAGGATGATTCAACAGTGGATATTACATTGAGGTTCTCTCTTAGGACTGCAGCCTTTCTTCACAACAATAACTGCTGTTTCACAGGTAAAACAGGAACCAACTGTGCTGTTAATATGTAGCGAATAATAAATTTCCTCATGAGACTTCAAAAACTTAATGCAAAGTTCAGTTAAATTTCAAGTATTTCATGCCCTCGATCTCGATTCTCCTGCACATTAAAACAGAGAGAGTAATATTTTACATTTTTTGTATCAAATTTGATTTTAATGCTACCATGCATGGTTAAAAAGATTCTGTCTCTCTACCTAATGGAACTGCATTCTATTTTATTTAGTTTATTTGAACGATTTCAGAAGTCTCTAATCATTCTGAATTTGTTTGCTTTGGGACACGTTATTTTAGACACGTCAAAGTAGACTGACATTCAGAGGGCGTGAGTTTAATACACGCAAAGTCAGGCGCAGCCTCCAGCTGGGTATCCAGGAACCAGAGCATTTAATGGTTTATTTCTGGTGGTAGAGCCCGTTAGTTACATATCAAACAATTAAGAAGGAGGCTCTAAGGAAGAGCAGACCCAAGATCCTCATATATAAATTAGCATTAGTATAAGTTATAAAGCGTTTCTAAGAACCCTCTTCATGAAAAACACAGTGCAAATGTACCTCTTTACTATTAATATAAGTTTCAAGCAACGTTTCTCAGATGAGAAGAATAAGGGTGTAGGAGGAGTAGATGTGATAATGGGTCTCTTGCTATTTTAAGATCTATAAAGAGAGAACACGTAGGTTGCAAACCATCGGATACTGACATGACTTGAAGCACTGATTTAAAAATCTGGGATGAAGAGAAACACCAAGGGAGGAACCTCTCCATAGCCCCTCTCTAGCAACTGAAATCTGTCCAGTCAACTGTCAACAACCATTTACAACTCTAGTGCTGTGAAAAAGACACAAGTACAAACATATGTAAATACACATTTTGACTTCTGTGTGTATTTCATAGATTTCTAGGTTGGAAAAGACCTTAGAGATCATCCAGTCCAACCATCCCTAATCCCCCATTAAACCATATCCCTAAGTAGATCATTCACCCTTTTCTTAAACACATCCAGGGATGGGGACTCAACCACCTCCCTGGGCAGCCTATTCCAGTGGCTGACAATCCTTTCAGAGAAGAAATACTTTCTAACATTCAACCTGAATCTCCCCTGACTAAGCTTATACCCATTTCCTCTTGTCCTATCACCGATCACTAATGTAAAGAGCCCTTCCCACACCTCCCCACCATCCCTTCTCAAGTATTTGTAGGCCGTAATCAGGTCTCCCCTCAGCCTCCTCTTCTCCAGGCTAAACAGCCCCAACTCCTTCAGCTGCTCCTCATAAGTTTTATTTTCCAGCCCCTTGACCAGTTTAGTCGCCCTTCTCTGGACCCGCTTCCAGGAGCTCAGTATCTCTCTTAAAGCAAGGGGCCCATAACAGTACACAAGATAAGAGAATCTGGCTTCAATTCATTTCCTAAACCTTTTAAAAAGGGAAAAAACAGAAGATTTTATTGTTATTTTATCGATGGCACCGAAAGTTCTGCCTTAGCAGCCCTCTGATACAAGGTCCCCACATCACTTCAATTGCTTGATCCTGTACT